CAAAGTATAAAACACACAAATTCTCTCAAATTTTTAAAAATGTTTAAATTGTGAGTATATACCTAGGAATATGAATTTGATTCATCCAAATACCTAACAACAAAACAACTCAAACTCAACTTTATTTCACAATTCATTATTACATACCTAACTAATTATATGTTTGGATGTTATATATCTAGAACCAAAATCTAACAAAAAAAAATAAGTTCAAACTTGTTAGTAAAGAAGTTAATGTTCATATCTAAACATTTAAAAAAATTTCATACTCATTCAAATTGGGTATATACTCAATTTGAATCATGGAGCCCATACTCCATGTAGCACCAATCACACGGTGGCGCTGCGTAGCGCCACACATAAACACCGTGCGCTACGAAACTTCATAGCGCAAGTCACGACTTCCCCCACTCCCGGTTTTTCTGTTCCATCGCTCCTCCCTGGCGTCCCCGCTCCCACCCCCACGTTCCAACGTCGGTAAAAAAATTGCTCACCCAGATTTATCGATTTTTCTCTCCGAAATTTCTGTTAGATACGCACAGTTGTTTTCAATCTCAGATTTTTTTTCGTTCGATACACCTGCTGGTTCCCACTAAGAGCGAGTAAAAAAATCACTTTGCTTCTCATGCCACATGTATCCGGTCACGAGTAAAAAAATCACTGCCCGATTAGATTAGGTCCCGTTAAAAAGATTTAACTTTTTAACTTTTTGAACAGCGTCCACACGATATCATATTGAGTAGTTAAAAAGTTACTAGCTCCTGTTCAATATGCATTGATCGGCCAGTAAAAAAAATTGCTTTCATGCTTCCGAATGCATCCATCTCTCTCGTTTCCTGTACTTTCCACTTTATTGGGTTCTCCCGTAGATTTGTTAAGTGAAAAAATTACTCCATGTTCTCTGTCCACTTTATCAGAGTTCCATCCAACAGATTTGTCGAGTAAAAAATTATTGTACCGGTTATTTCGACATGGTTAGGGAAAATTATTTAGTGCAAACTACATACATAGTAAAAACTTGTAAACTACCGTTGGATCTAAAAATGGACGTCCGAGATGTGTACATGTCAACGTAAGTAAAAAATTTTACTTCTAGTAAAATTTTTACTCATCAGTGAATATGCGAGTAGATTTTACTCCCAGTAAAATTTTTACTCATGAGTGAATATGCGAGTAAAACTTTTACTCGTGATGATGTTGACGAACATCTATTTTTCGACCCAAAGGTAGTTTTCAGGTTTTCACTGTATATGTTGTTTTCACCATATATTTTCCCTTGTTGGAGTCTCTCCTAAACTTATCAAATAAAAAAATTACTACGCATTTTTCACTTTATCATTTCCAGTGGGCAGAGTAAGATTTTTTGTTGACATAAAAAAAGACATGGCCTAGTAATTTTTTAACTCCACCGGGATGAATCGCGTGCATGTAGTGATGATCTTGATACACTTATACACACGGTGGGAAAAAAAGAACAAAAAAAAGAAGAACATGGACACGGGGTGAGGAAATAAACATGGGTTGCTCTCGATGATGTCTAGATAGAAAAAACGGAAATAGCGGGCGTCGACTGTTTAATCGTCGTCCTCCTTTCTGCTCCTTCCGCCGGTGAAGATGAACGAGGCATCGACGCCTCAGAGAAAAACCCCCACCACACAGAGCGTCTAGGCAGCACTGACAGGAAGAGGCCTGGCTGGAGCTCGACAGCCGACGATGAACACATGCAGCTGTAGATCCAAGCGCCGTCATCTTGTATGCAGCCTCCACCAACGGATCGGAGGTCATCCCAGTGGCGCTGCGACCACCAAGGGAGTTGCTTGGAAGGAGGGTAGAAGGCCCAGCGGGCGGCAGCGGCGCATGGTGGATGTTTTTTGCCGTCGTAGCCCGTCGATGACACTTGCTTGTGTCGGCAGTGCCACCGCCTCCTCTTGTTGCTGCTGTCCCTCCCGTCGTCATCTTCCATAGTGATGGCGGTGGTGAGGAAGCGGCCATGGATGCGACGCCATCAGGCCTGGCCTGCCACTGCAATGGAAGACGATGGGAGAAAGGATGATGCTGCGGCTGCTCCTGGTCGTGACAGCCATCGGTGGCCACAGATCCGATGGCGTCCCTGCCAACGACCACCACGCCACCACTGCTCCACCCCACCAGGTCGCGCAGTCACCGGCCACCGCTTGGGATGGCCTCGCCCGCATGGCTGCCACCGCCGCACTGTCGCCAGATCAGCGTAAATCGTGGTAGCCTCCTTGGTACTGTAAAAAATACAAAAAGAAAATAAAAAAGAAACAGAAAAACAAAATCTCACTCCCGAGGGAGAAGACCATCGGCACCACCGCACTGACGAGTCCATGCCGTCAGAGACGTCGCCGCCAACGCTCCTCCACTGGCTAGGAAGAACAGGGCGTCAATCCCCCATGATCCGCCTCGATAGTTGAGGGATATTAGGATCTCCTCTCATATGTCTCATCGTCGATCCGAAAAATCAGGATCGTATGAGAAATTAAAGAATGAGAATGGTGGGTACAGGCGTACAGTAGTATCGACACCTAATATAAATAGACATGCATGAGTAAAAAAATTACTTGCAAAAACATAATGAAACAGAAGAAAAATAATAATAACAAAAAAAATTAAGGTATGAGAAAAAAAGTTTCCTTTAGTTAATAAATAACTCATTATGCTAAGTCACGTTTATTATAGTTGTTGAATCATACATAGTTAAAAATTAACTGATTAAACGTGGATATATATGGTGGGCTATGTAGTAGTAAAAATTTAACTCGTGAATTAAAGTGGGTGGAGTTAGGAGGGGAGTGGGGTGGTGGGCAGTGGGTGGGTCTGGTTACTGTGAGTGCCGTTTAATACGTAGCACCTTAAGACTTATATATATATATATATATATATATATATATATATATATATATATATATATATATATAAAATAATGATGATGAAGACAGTAGGACTACCTTTGTCCAAAAATAACGCAATTTTACAACGTTTATGTTCAACGTTTGATCGTCCGTCTTATTTGAAAATTTTGTATGATTAGTATTTTTTATTAGATGATAAAACATGAATAATACTTTATGCATAACTAATTTTTTTATTTTTTTTAAATAAGATGAACTGTCAAATGTTGAACACGAAAACTCACAACTGCACTTAAATTAGGAGGCATGTAGTACATATATATGCATATATAAATCAGTTCCTACGTGCAACGGGCGCAAAATATCCCGGGGTCACAGATCCGTTTCCTTGTTTGTGTAACAAGTGTTTGGTACTTCCTGCCCATTACTGCACGCTGGTGGTGGACAGTAGCAGCACAGGAGAAGACAGCCATGGGGATGGGGCGGCCAATGGGAAACTACACCGGTGGATATTTTGCCGACAGGAAATGCTGCACGCACTAACCAATGTTGCTCACAAAGTTTTTTTTTAAAATTTTTAATTTCTCCCTCGCATCATGTGGTCCCTGCAGATACATCATGTCATAAAAGTTTTTCTTAACAGTGAAGTATTATTATTATTATTGTTTGCTCCTTTGATATTTATACTTGATTATGAAATCAAGTTTATTGTATTATGTAGAATATGCAGTGCCATGCTTGGGTGTCTCTCTCGTCCAGAAGCTGAGTTAGACTTCATTTTTTTTAAAAGATTGTACATTAATTTAACCACAACCTAGAAAGTGCTTGTCTTGTGCATATAAAAACATGTATGTTATATTATTTTTTTGTGAGGAATATTATGGAATGGTGGAATATATTTATCTCCTTTTAAAGAAGCACCTTGTTTCTATATTTCATATCCATACCTTTAAAAACATCACGTTGTATTTTGCTCCATCGTTTGCCCGTTAGCTTATGAGTCAAAGCAAAATTTGAATTTTTAGACTTAATTCTAGAGTTAATTTTGAGGCATTTTTTTATTATAGTTTAGTTTTCAGCATTGGTTTTTAAAATTGCCAAGAGCACATATATACAAATTTTATACATAAATCAATTTTTGTTGCTTCATTCTATTTTACAACTTAATGGCAGAGCAAACGATGAAAATAATTTATATCGTGTGCTCTAGAAATGTTGTTTTCACTATATCATGGATCAGTTTAGGTAGACGTGTAGATATCCTTACTCCGTAATAAAACGAGCCAACAATGCTAGCTTAGAGCCGTTAATTATTGTTACAAGTAAATGCAACCTTAATCTATATATGCTTATCTGACTTCAAAAGAAGTACTCCAACCATGTAACCAAAATCCAACCGTGTTATAAGTCGATTTAATTATTCTCTAGCTACTTACTAAAGTTTGATATACTCTTATATAGAGAAAATTAGCAACATCTACAATACAAAATTAGTTTTATTCTAACATTCAATACATTTTGATAATACGTTTTAAACATTAGTATATAATTCTAAAAAATAAATTAAAGCAATGTCGAGTGGAAAATACAACTTTTATCACTGTGATGCAATCCTATATACGACTACCTTTATATACTACTCTATTCATTTCAGGTTACAAGACGTTTTTACTTTGGTCAAAATCAAACTCTTTCAAGTTTAACTAAATTTATAGATACATATAGTAATATTTATAATACTAAATTAGTTTGATTCAATCAATAATTGAATATATATTCATAATAAATTTGTCTTGAGTTGAAAATGTTATTATTTTTTTACAAACTTGGTTAAACCTGAAGCAGTTTAACTTTGATAAAAGTAAAAACGTCTTATAATCTAGATTAGAGGGACTAGCACCAGTAGTCGGCAAACACATTGCAACTATTTGACCAGAGTCAAGTCAAACAAAGCATAGCACACTCCTCCTTAATACACCCTACATACACAAAACCATACTACTACTACTAGTAGGAGTCTCCACCGTTCTGAAAAAAGAAAAAGAAAAAAAAAACCTCCATCTCCCGCCCAGTGCCGCCGCGCCACGTCACCCCTCCCCCGCCGCGCGTGTGTGTACGCGTAGCCTTTCCGGCGGAGACGCAGCACAAAAATGGTTTTACTTGCGATACCCTTCGTCTCCCTCACGTCCCATCCATCCCTCCCCCCCCTTTTCCCTCCTCCTCCACCTCCACTGCCATGGCCGCCTCCGCCGCTCCTCTCTCCCGCGTGGTAGCCGCCGCCGGTTGCCGCCGCTAGGGGAGCGCGACGGGGGAACGGTAGGGGCGACCCAGCTCGCTCTGTCGCCCCGCGGCTGGTGGGGGTGCGCGCGGGGGAGAGCGGTTGGTTAGTATGGTGCTGGATCTCAATGTGGAGTCGCCGGGTGGGTCGGCGGCGACGTCGAGCTCGTCCACGCCGCCGCCGCCGCCCGACGGTGGCGGCGGGGGGTACTTCCGGTTCGACCTGCTCGGCGGGAGCCCCGACGAGGACGGGTGCTCCTCGCCTGTCATGACGCGCCAGCTCTTCCCTTCGCCGTCTGCGGTGGTGGCGCTGGCGGGGGACGGGTCGTCGACGCCACCGCTGACGATGCCGATGCCGGCGGCGGCTGGGGAGGGGCCGTGGCCGCGCCGCGCGGCGGATCTCGGGGTGGCGCAGAGCCAGAGGTCCCCCGCCGGCGGGAAGAAGAGCCGCCGCGGCCCGAGGTCTCGGAGCTCCCAGTACAGGGGCGTCACCTTCTACAGGAGGACCGGGCGATGGGAGTCGCACATCTGGTTAGCTTCGCCTTGCTCGATTTCCCTCACGCTGACTTCCTCTGCTTGACTCTGCTTGATTGGAGTAGTAATCTCTTCGTTTGTCTCGTCCAATTTTGGCAGGGACTGCGGGAAGCAGGTGTACCTGGGTGAGCTCCTATTTCTAGTCTCCCAAGCTAAATTCGCTCGCATGACTGCTAAATTTGGGTCTCTACTTAGCTTGATTCCGATTTGTTTGCTCCTGCCTTGTTTTTTTTTTCTGTTTTCAGGTGGTTTCGATACAGCTCATGCCGCAGCGAGGTTACTATAAATGGTCACCAATTGTATCTTAATTGTTGCTCTGGTTTGCCCTGTGTGCTGAGATTGTAGAACCCCTTGTGCAGGGCCTATGATCGCGCGGCGATCAAGTTCAGAGGCCTCGACGCGGATATCAACTTTAATCTGAATGACTATGAGGACGACTTGAAGCAGGTTGTTTGGAATATAGTTCAATTGTCATGTGTGATTCTTTAGGTTCTAAGGGGAGGTTCATTCACCGGCCTGTGATGGTTTATGATGGATTGGTTCGTGCTGTGTTGTTAGATGCGCAATTGGACCAAGGAGGAGTTTGTGCACATACTTCGGCGCCAAAGCACAGGATTTGCAAGGGGGAGCTCAAAGTACCGGGGTGTGACACTGCACAAGTGTGGCCGGTGGGAAGCTCGGATGGGCCAGCTGCTCGGCAAGAAGTAAGATCCCTGAAACATTGATTGTTCTTGCTAGTAACTTACAATACAATACATTTTAGATTAGTTCAGGACCATTTTTCATGCCATGAACGAAAACTGTGTCAAGTTTGCTTTTCAAAAAGGGAAAGAAAAAAAATGTGTCACTACCAAGCTGGAGAATGGTAGGCTACCCCTGGAGTCCACATCCACCTGAAGATTTGATGTTGACTCTTCACACACTAGCCATTTACTATTGGAACACCACAGGTGTTCAATGATTATAGATTGCTAGCTTCTTTAGGAAAGAACTAAGTGAATCGGAATGGCTCCTCGGAATTAATTGAGGGGAAATGTTTTTGTTTCCTTGGGGATTGTGTTTTGCATCCTAAGTCAGTGATAGGTGAAAAGCTTCATTTCAATGCTCTTGGTTGTTTTTGCCACTAAGAATGTTCTGCTTATTTACGTTGAATTTTTGATTGGCTGTTCGTATCATAGTTGTGCATTTCCTATATATTACAATCTTTGTGAACTTTAGATAATTCTGGCATGAGCTCTCTCTGTGGTATTGTTCTATTAACAGAAGTATCATTCTGTCAATTCCCCACTGATAAGTGATCTTTTGTGCAGGTACATCTATCTAGGATTGTTTGACAGTGAAATTGAGGCTGCAAGGTTCAGTTAGTAGTACTTTGCTCTTCTCAGTTTGATATGTGCTTGCTATTCCTATACTTCTCTCACTTTCATCTACTCTTCAACTTGTAGAGCATATGACCGGGCAGCTATCCGCTTCAATGGAAGGGAAGCTGTTACTAATTTTGATCCTAGTTCTTATGATGGAGATGTTCTACCTGAAACCGACAATGAAGGTATTTCTTTTGTACTATGTATATTGTGCTTTATCCACTAGAACGACAAATCCAAATTTTATATTAACAAAAGCACACTGGGGATTGTCTTAGCAGTGGTTGATGGAGACATCATTGACTTAAATCTGAGAATTTCACAGCCTAACGTTCATGAGCTGAAAAGTGATGGTACCCTAACTGGGTTCCAGTTGAATTGTGATTCTCCTGAAGCTTCAAGTTCTGTTGTTACTCAGGTAAATATGCTACAATATTTGGTGTTTGTAACCGCTATACCATTTGAGATTTGACCGTCTTCAGATTCTTTTGATCAGGTGGTTAGTCCTTTTTCATAACATTATACTATCACTTTCAAAATAATTAGTACACTAATTGTATGTGTCACTAGAATTGTTGTATGAAACCATCTGGGAACCATCTTATGCAGCTTATTGACAAATGACAACTCACTGTTGATGTATTCCCAAATCAAGAAAAGCCAATCTTTTTATTCAATTTCTCCAGTTCATTGAATTGAAAAAGAAATTGCCGAACAACTACCACCTGAAGAGACTGGCTAGATATTTTGTTTATCTGTGTATTTTTATAACCTATAACAGTTCCAAAGCCACAAAGCTCTTTTACCTTGATTCTGATAACGTTAACTGAGGTATCATTTTGTGATTGTTTTCTGTAGCCAATAAGTCCTCAGTGGCCTGTGCTTCCTCAGGGCACATCGATGTCCCAGCATCCACATTTATATGCATCTCCTTGTCCGGGCTTCTTTGTGAACCTCAGGGTATATCTATCATCAAAACTTATATGCAATTTGAAAAGACAGTTAAACTTGTTTCAAGTTAACATTCGATTGCTAATTAGCTACTACTTCCATGCTCCTATTTCTTGAGATGACGAACCATATGTTTGTTCCTTTAATTACATAATGGTAGCCGTAGATACTGTTTGCCTTGTGAACTGTCAGATATAGCAGGAAGTAAATCTGTCAGCTTGCAACTTTCCATGAACCACAGCTGTCCAACTTTATACAGTGGATGATGACTTGCATTTGATACATCCTAGTACTTTCTTGTTGCACTCTGCAGCTTTAGCTCTGAAGATGCTCTATATTTCCATGAATGCTCACGTTAGCTCTGAAATTTCGAACTTTCACTCCATAACATGCTCACTTAGGCTGTGTTTAGATCCAAACTTCAGTTCTTTTCCATCACATCAACCTGTCATACACACACAACTTTTCAGTCACATCATCTCTAATTTCAACCAAAATCCAAACTTTGCCATCAACTAAACACAGCCTTATTCATTGTTCCACCTTTTATTTCTGCCATTGCTAAGGTCCAATCTTGATACCTCAGAGAGCTGCATGATGTGTAGATAGTCCTAACTTAGGTCCGTTGGTTAGAATCATCCATTCATGTTTAGGAAAAGTGATTAACAACGTGTGCTGCATTAACCATTAATGTGGTCAACTCTGATGCTTGTGCTATGGTCACTGCAGGAAGTACCTATGGAGAAAAGACCTGAGTTGGGTCCCCAGTCGTTCCCTACTTCGTGGTCATGGCAAATGCAGGGCTCCCCTTTGCCATTACTCCCTACTGCAGCATCATCAGGATTCTCTACGGGCACCGTCGCCGACGCCGCCCGCTCGCCTTCCTCCCGCCCCCATCCATTTCCCGGCCACCACCAGTTCTACTTCCCCCCGACCGCCTGACTGCCACCTATTCTGGTGGAGGCGACACCTCACCGTGCATCCACCGCCGCTTGCTGATAACATTCGTCGTTTGTCCAGAGAGGGACCTTCTCCATATGATATCCCTCTCTATGTTCCACCTGGTTATGATCAGAATTCTCACGCTCATGATTCTTTTATCTTCATTTTTGAGTGCGAAACCACGAATCGTGACCGTGCTACCAGGTAAACACCCTTGTACCTCTTTGACTCTACAATAAAATTAATGTAAGATATTCTGGCTAAAAGTGATTGGCCCTCCCTACTGTATTTTTACAGAGTTGTAATTTGAACAGTGGGCACTAAAGCTGGGGCCCACTCGCACCAGTGTCTAGTGGAGCGAAGCTTTGCCCTTTTCTTGCTATCCAGCAACTATTCCTCCGCCTGCCTCCATTGCTGACAGTGGAGATAGCTTCCCAGTGGTCACTGTTCCACTGTACTCTGTCATAGTTTCTGATCACCCCTATTGTGCCTTGTCTCTTTCACCTCCTCCCTCACTTGTGCTGCCTCTGGCCACTAGAGTGGCGCCCTGCACTGTTGCCATGCATGGCTGCCACTTCGAGAGTGGAGATGGGGGTTGGCCTTTGGGTGATTTCTGTGTGCCATCTTTTGGCTCAATGTCGTTTTGGGACTGGTGCATGTACTGGCAATAGGTGAGATGAGATATGAAATGTCCTCTGCTGCTTTTTCTATCTAAGGAGTAGCTTAGCTATCACCAGCTGCCTTTCTCTTCTCAAATAAGGTTGTTAAAAGGGGGGGTCTTAAAGCTACCCCAACTGCTGCCAGGGGCCCTCTTCAATGCCCTCCCAGCTGCCGTTTCTTTCTTTATTGGTTTGCTTCTCTGCTGCTTCTTTTGCCTGGTTGGATGGATGTTTGTTTGTTCGTATGAATTGGGGGAGCTACTAGTATCATTCATGAGTAGAGGCAGGCAGGGCAGAGCAGGCTGCTGGCTGGCCAGGCACTGATGTGCCAACAGCTATTTCCAGTGAAACGGCTGCCATTTTTCTTTGCTGGGATTGTGATAGTGGTAGGCTGGTAGTACTAGCTAGCAGTGTATTGGGGGAAATACTGGTGGTCCATTTGCCTGTTAGCCAATCTGATGCTTGCCTTTCCATCCGCTGGTGATGGTCCATTTGCTTTGGCATCTTGCTTGCCTGTTAGTACTACAAAAGTTGCATACATATGCTATTGAGGTTAGGGTGTGTTTAGTTCACGCAAAAATTGGAAGTTTGGTTGAAATTGGCGATGTGATGGAAAAGTTTGAAGTTTATATGTGTAGGAAAGGTTTGATGTGATGGAAAAGTTGGAAGTTTGAAAAAAAATGTTTGGAACTAAACACGGTGTTAGAGTTGATCTGAGTACCTGACAACTTCATGGCAAATGCTCTTTACAATGACATCAACAGACTTTAGTTTTGCAGCAGTTCTTCTCTGTATCTGTGTTTCAATGCATGGGTTTGGATTGTGAATAACAGTATTATATTTGCCTGCCCTTCCTTTTTTGGTTTAAAAAGAAAGGCATTGTCTATGGTGGCAAGGCTTTTGATGAATAGACTATGCATCCTTTCTTTGGTACACTTTGTTAGAATAGTATGTGGAATATTAGATGGACCAAATCTATCAAACATAATAATAGTACAATTAGGATGTTTGGTAGAGATTTGAGATATCCTTTTTTTTGGGAGAGTTTGGGTGTGGTTGATTTAACTCCCATAGTTAAATTAATTAACTAATACAAAGAAATATACTGAAAGGAAAATTTCCAAGGTAGGAGTTTTTGCTAAATTTCCTTCAAATTCTCTACAGGATTGTTCATTTCATATGAATTCCAAGAGATAGGATAGGATTCAATCCTTTGTTTTAAAGATCTTCATAGGTAATTTTCATATAGGATTAAAACCCTCCAAAATTCCTTTGTTTTTCCTCTAAATCAAAGGAACCCTAAAACACATGAATATGAGATGTTTTGTTTGGATGCTTCAAATGAAAAATACATAGAAAAGACATATAGGAATTTGGTAGATTCATTTGAGAGTAGATAGATGGAGAAGAGTTGCATTGGACCTTTCAAAAAGTGAAAGAATGAAGTTTGAGCAATTGAGCTCATCGTTTAAGTTTCCCAAGGAAGTGGGGCATAGGAACTCAATCCACAGGGGCATATGTATAGGAAATTTTCTTAGGGATTGTAATCCATGCTTTCTAGGAAAATCATACTGTTCAAAGGAGCCATTAATTTAGTATAAACAAATGGAAACAAAGTCACTTGAGCTATTTACTTGTGCAAAAATTTAAAATTGCAAAGAGTATATCTCTACTATATTAAAAGTAGGGTCATCCTCTTTCCATCCCCTTCTCCCACCGTGCGCAGCGCGCCCACGTGCATCATATAAGTAATGACCTGATCTAAGTTTTACCCTACAATCACACTTATAGTTTATCCTTCCTTATACATGTCTGATTCGTTATAACATAGGGGTATGTTACTAGTATTCAATAAATTAGGGCTATGTTTAGCTCCTAAAATTGGGGAGAAGTTTGAGAAAAATTGGTAGTTTGGAAAAAAAAGTTGGGAGTTTATGTGAGTAGGAAAGTTTTGGATGTGATGTGATATGATGGAAATTTGAGAGTTTGGGGAAAGTTTAGTGTGAACTAAACAGGACTAGGAGTACATAGTCGATCATCATCCTCTCTCTTTCCCTTAAACCCCAAAGAACCCTAACGATGGATGTCCTCTCTCTTTCCCTTAAGGACATAGGAACTGCTCATCTTTAGGAGGATGTTTTTGGAGTCATTGCCTACTGCCAAGGACAGCAAGGCGCCAGCGCCACTTTTACTTCCCTCCCAGATGACAGCTGAACCTCTCCTATCATCTTTAGTTGCTTAGAGCATAAACAATGCCACTTCTAGAGTGATGGCCAGATGGACTAAGGGCACACATTTAGGATGGGCCTTTCCTCACAATGCAAAGTGACAGTAGGGGTGGCTTTAAAATTTTCAAGACAACATGTGACACTATCTATTTAAGCCCACATATTTTTTTTAATTTACGTGGAAGTCTAAAATTTTACACTACCAGCCAAATACTCGTGTGTGCAACGGATTATCCAAAATAGGAAAAAAAATAAGTTCTCTTGGTTAAAAAACAATGTTTTATGTTTACTTGGTTTAAACAAGATTTTTCATCTTAAAAAGAAAAAAAAGCTAGCTGGTCTTGAAGAAGTAGGTTGGTACACTGACCTAATATAGTGTAAATCATAGTTCCACCTGTCAGCAATGGCGTTGGTGACAAACTCATCACCACCACTAGAGTGTTTTTGAAGTAGTATAAGAAACACGATAGAATCCATATTCAAATACACTGCTAAAAGAAGAATTTTGCTGAAGGCCAAAATAGGTTTTCGCTGGCGGCCAGCATTGCCGCCAGCAACCTAAGGCCAGTGAAAACAATGCATGTTCACTAGCCGTCGGCTAGTCGCGAGCGAAAACCGAGTTTCGTTGGGGCAAGCGAAAGAGATCCACCAGTGAGAATGTTTTTTAGAGAAAAAAAATGAAAATGTAGGGGGGGGGAATAGGTCGGCGGCCTGGTGTGGCCATCACTGAGCCCTCTTCGGAACCCTTATTGTCGTTACCGGATCTACTACCGCCACCCTTCCCTTCGGTGCCGTAAAAGTGGACCCGGCGATCCCGAGCAACCTCCTTCAACGATGTCGTCCCTCATCTTCACCGCCGTGGAAGTTGACCTGGCGACCCCGAACACCGCCGCTACCAGACCCACCTCCTTCACCACCACCATCCCTCTCTTTTGCCGCCGTGGAGGCGAATCCAGTGGTCTTGAGCACCGCCACTGCTAGATCCATTCTCTTCATCGTTGCCACTGGTCTCCTTCACACTGTGGAGGAGGATCTGCTGAGGGGAAGCCATAGCTGAGACGAAGTCATCATCGTCGAATCCATGCCCCCGTGACCTACCGCCACCACTGCTGTTGGATCTATACATAGCCGGCCCCGCTCCTCCGGTCAGATCTGGGAGATGGAGGGGAGGGCAAGGTCACTACCGCCACTCCCTCGGCTGCGTGGCCTCCCCATCATCGATGCCACGCGCTAGAACTAGACTTAGCAGCCATCGAGCTTCTCCGTGGCTTAGCAAACCGGCGTCACCTTGGACAAGAACTCAACACCAAGATTGCGGGCGCTGAGACGTTATAGCTCAGCGCTAATCTCGATGGCGATGAACTATAGGTTTATTTTTGTTATTAGTTTTTGCCACAGTTCATTCTTCAAAGAAATTTTTTGAAAGTGTCATTTTGTCAAAATTTCAGCCCCTCCCCTGCAGATGATGGGCCCATTTGTCGTCGCCAAATCTCCGTTTCTCATACTGTAAGGATGAGCACGCAGCGGCACAAATCAGATGAGGGCAAGCTCGCAATAGTCGATCAAGACGTGTAGTCAAGCTCTTTGTCAGGGCAAATCTACTTAGAGCAATGGCCTCAACAATAGATCTGCTCGAGGCGGTGGTATCTATGGAGGATCTGCCCGGACAATCAGATGACTCACCACCTCATCACATTGTTTATGCCCCTATCTTCTTTTCTCCGCCAATCATAGTTAGAGGCAAACAGGAGCCAAGGCTATTGGTCTAGTTGCTCTCCAAAAGTTCAGTGGATACGTATAGAGAGCACAAATAATAGGAAAAGGAAAACGAGAGAAGATAGAGAAGAGAAAAGAAAAGAATGCAATTTGTACCTGTATCTCGCTTAGGCTGGGGGCACTTTGGGTCCCCGTAACTGCCCCTATAGATCAATCTCTCCCTGTCTTTCTCTCGATAGATCACAGTCATCTCTGCCAGTGTGTGTGTGTAGCTCGGCTCCTTTTGGAGAACAGTGGTAGGTGCCTGTGAATGGCGAGACCGGCTTTCATCACTCGAGTACTAGCTAGCTACCCCCCCTATCTAGCGTCGCATCGGCTGACCAGTGACCAGGACGCCGTACGCCTTGCTCTTGCAGGGGTTTGGGGTTTGGGTTCCCCTTTCTCTTTGAGCAGAGGCAGAGTCAGACTGTCTCAGAGACTCAGAGTCTCTCAGACCCAGAGAGAGAGAGGTGGTACTGTCCTACTGTACAGTATTCATGTGAGTGATGGAGAGGGGGGTTGCAGCTGTGGCGACATGCCGGCATTGGTACGACAGGATACTGTTTCTTTGGTTCCCTGATGCGTGTTTTGCTACGCGCATTCTTCCTCTCTTCCATAAGAAAACAAACGAATTATAGATAGATTTGTAGTATTAAAATATGTCATATCGTATACTAAGATTCTTTTATGGTACTATAGATGGAGTATAGGAAAATGTGCATTATTTCCCTAATGATTGTTGAGATATTTTTGCTTGATATGTGTAGTTGTTACTTCTTTCCTTAATAAATATTACCTCTATTCTAAAATAAGTGTAGTTGTGGAAATCCGTCTTATTTAAAAAAATTATAATTTTTTTAAAAAATAGTTACACATAAAGAATTATGTATGTTTTATCATCTAATAACAATAAAAATACTAATTATAAATATTTTTAAATAAGACGAACGGTTATACGCTAAACATGAGCAGTACAAAACTGCACTTATATTATTTTGGGACGGACGGAATAGTAATCTAGTACTCCATCCGTCTCCAAATAAATTTTGGTTGGATGGGACATATTCTGATTAGTATTACTTAGATGTGTCCCATCCAACCAAAACTTTTTATATTTTGGGCCAGAGAGAGTACTTGATTAGAGCATCAACAATTCTTATTGCCAAACCATGCAACAAGTGTGGATTCCTTGTGAGATAAAGCAACTAGTAGGAAGACCTCACAATGTGTGTATGTAAGTTATTTTTTTTAAAAAATGTGTGTATGTAAGTGAGGGAAATAAAGTGGGATCCACATTCAACCAATCTATCATAAGCTTTGGTGTGATTTAAAAAAGTGAGATGGGACCCGTCACAACATATTTTATTTCCTTACTACCAATAATAAGGCTATGCACTGGTAGTAATTATTTACTGCTCTCATAATGTTTGTTACTTGATAACAAGCACATATTCCGTTCATCCCAAAATATAAGAGATTTTAGGTGGATGTGACACATTCTAGTACTATAAATCCGGACAAGAGCCTGTTCAGATTTATAGTACTAGTATCTGTCACATCACCCAAAATCACTTATATTTTGGGATAGAGGGAATATTTAACACTTACTACATGTTCTAACCAGGGTTGGAAATTTGGGGATACGATATTAATTCGGATGAATATTTTGAAATTTTCAATTTTTTCATGAATTTGGGTAATATTTGTTCAAATTCAACTAAATTTTGTTCAAAATTTTGGAAATTTTGGACTGAAATTTTCGAAATTTCAGGATTTCGGTGACCCCCGATCAAAAACCCTAAACCGATATAATGAACCCTGGTTCTAACACTACATTGTGGATGCCCTTAAATATTACCTAGGAATCTAAATCTGGAGTTCTGGACAACTATGTTCAGATTCGTAAGTGTTAAATATTCCCTCTCAGATCCACAGTGTTAAATATGCGAAGTTATATTTTGGCACATCTTAGAGCAAGTTTAATAGTATAGCCCACTACAAGCCCCAATTCATCTATAGCCGATCTAATAGTCAATTCATACAATAGTTGCTTACTATACTATTAATATATGGTCCCACATATCATACACACATTGTGTCTTAAAGACCGTGCTACAGCCGGCTACAGATCTGTAGCCCGCTGTTCTTCTCTCTTATCTTTTATCTTATTAAAATATGTTTATAGCTGGCTAATAGTCTGCTATTGTACCTGCTCTTAGACGCCCGTGCCATGCATGTAAACTTTGTGAAAGCATTTTAGAAACAGTGTCTTTTCTTGCATGTGGTCGTTAGTTGTGCTAATGCAACATGGCAATCAGCAATTGGTTAGCACTGTAGGATAAATACACAGTTGCTTTGCATTTTTCAAAACCACTATGGAGATATATTTGTTTAGTTGTGGATGGGTTATGGGGATTGGAGGAAAACAAATTTCAAACTTACTTTGGGCAGGGTATCAGTTAAATTTGGACAGGGAATGAGTTTGATCAGAGTAGGTACAAATTTTTCTACTAACGGTACTAATATCCTTGCTTATATGGTCAATATATAGTTTCAGTGTGTCACGATTTGATCTAAATATATAGGTGTAAGTGGCAAGTTAACTTGCAAAATTATGCAACCGCATCATTAAGGTGGTATTAGTCATCAGTTTTTTCTCTTTATATTATAAGCATGTGTAGTGGTGAAACATTCCCCTGGTGTAAATTAATTTGTATTGCATCCTGAGAAATCATTTCGCCTTCAATGTGTGTAGGATAATATATGGGATTTCTCTATTGTGGGTAGAAATCCATGACGAACGCGTGTGATACTTTCAGGTGCACATTACTCATGCTTATGTTTTGATGCACCCAAAAATTTAAACTTAAAGGTCTAATGTGGTAAAAACTTTGGAATGAAGATTTTTCTTAAAAAGAAAGTTTGCAGGAATTAAACTACTACTCCATGTGAGAATAATATAAAATTCCGACATTCTTGAGGAAAGATCACGAATGCAATGAGAAGGGAGAAATTGAGATAGATGGACGATAACTCACATTGCTAGGCCATGATGGGCTTTTGGAGTTTTGGACCGTTGATTCTTTTCATTGCTCACTACTCATTTTCACGAATCTGTAGGTCTTAAATTTAAGTTTATAAGATACAACGAGGATGAACGTGACTGTGGCACACACCTCGCTCCAAGTCTTCTATCATACATTAGACGCAGGCTTGGATGGATTAATTATAATGCCAAACCATTAAGGCTGTGTTCATTTCAACGAGTTGGGAACCTTTCCTTCCAACATGGAAAACGACATAGTTTATTAGTGCATGGATGTTACATCCTGAAGTTCTTCTCCCAAGCCTAAATTGAATTAATAAATGGTCTTAAGAAATTATTTGTGTAATAGCAAGAGAGAAACCCTAATTTAATAAATGCATTTAATAATCGAAAATGGCATCTGTAATTTTTCTTGGGTTCTACATGTCAAAATATGCTAACAGG